CGGTTTTTTAAAATAAAAAATGACATTACATGACATTTCTTTAAAAGTATGTCATTTTGAAACCACAACGACAATCTAAATAGCAACTTTATATGTCGATTGTAGAAAAAAAATGTTGAAATATTTTTTAAAATAAACAGATTCATGCAAAATGCCACTCCACGATTCTTTGGATTTAGAATCGAGGCTCAACTTTTAATACTTTTAAATTGGTTTGCAGGAAAAAATCTTTATGAATTTTTCAGTAAGTTGGGAAACTTAAATTTTCAACCGTGGAGAGAAAAATCAAATTATTTATGGTCTTATTCTGACCACTTTATAAAAAGTTTCAACTTCATTGAATTTTTTTCTAATAAACCGCTTGATAACTTTGTATAAAGTCGATTAGTAACGCTACCCCAAACAGGAAAACTTCATTTGGCTTCAAAATAATTATTGTAATTTTGTAATTTCTAGTTATTTATTATTAAAATCGGAAACAAAATTAATTTTAATTTTTTAGAGTGCAAGTTGAAACTTTGAATTAAGACGAAGAGTTTGTCATAAATTTTACTTAGTTTATTTTGTGAGGTTTCTAACAAATATTTAAGTCGGAAGTTCAACCTGCGATATTCGAACCACCGTTCCGTCGAGAATTTAAATTAAAGTTTATGATTCGACAAAAATTTAAGAACGTATTTGCATGTAGGGCTTTTATTACTTAATTAAACCCGAAACAATTTTAGATTAGATTAAACTACACAGGGTGATTTTTTTTGGGCTATTAGAAACTTTTTAACGTCTAATGCAAGTTTAATTAAATTATTTTCAAAATGGCTGAACTTCCGGAACTACTACTAAAAAAATAGAGTCATTTCATTTTAAAAAACTGAGTTTTAGATGTTTGTTAATAATCATTTTCAAAAAATCATACTAGCCTTGCAATTTGACAGTTGACAATTTTGAAAATTTTAGAAAACTCTTCGAACTTTTGATTATCAAAGCAAAAAAAAATATTCTTTTATTACAAGGAGTTCAAAAACTGTAATGTTTTAAATAAACCCCTGCAAATAAAAATTTTGAGCAAATAATTGACATATGTCAAAAACTATGACAGATACGTACTAACAATTAGGTAGATTTACTCAGTATGAAGAGGAGAATTTAAAAATGCAATAAAAATAATTGGTTATCATTTAAAATTTCAAAGTTGGCGCCAATTTCTCGTAGTTCCGGAAGTTCAGCCATTTTGAAAATAATTTAGTTGAACTCAGACTGGTCGATTTGGATTGTGTACAAAATTTCAAATTCCTATCTGCATCAGAAGTTAAAAAGTTTCTAATGTAGGCCCTAAAAGAATCACCCTGTATGATAATTATAATCTATGTGATTTAAATATACCAGGTGAATAAAAAATATGGAACCAAACTATTTATTATTTGGAAAAAACTAATTGATAAACGATAAAGTGCTTTAAAGATGAGATGTTTTATAAAGAAAATTTTTTTTCCAAATTTTCTTTTGTTTTTGAGTTCTACAAAAAATTTAATTTTTTGTAAATAGCAACCCACTATAAAACTATTTTTCTCATAAAAGTTTTGATCTGAGGATTACAACTATCAACTTCATATTTAATTTTTTCATAATTTTTTTTACATAAATTGCAATTTTGACAAAAAAATCGCATAACCCAAAAACAAGACAAAATTTCGTTCTCAAAATACGATCTCATTTTTTATATTACGTTAATTTATATTAACTACTACTTTCTGAAGACAAATGATTTAAAAAAAAAACACTTGGTTCCATACTTTATATTCACTCTGTATAATTATAAACTATAAACTATACAGGATGTTCTGTCTAAACCCCACATGGAAAGTATTGGGAGTTCGAATAATCATATTTATTTGAAAATTGGAACATATCCATAATCCATTAAGTCCTCCTAAATGAAAATATTTTCAAGATGGCGGCACTTCCGGTTATAACGGAAGTCGGTCTCAACTTTCTCATTTTTAATGGAAAGCCGTTTTGGGATTAATCAAGCTATTTTAATGGAATTTTCATCAGCTTTCCTTAGACCTAAATTTATCCATTTTTGAAATATTTGGAGATTTCCAAAATTTTTGGATCTGCATTTTAAAATTTAAAATTCGGTAAACTTTTGAATTCGTTTTTTCGGCGTTTGAAAGAGAAATCTTACATCTTTATTCTGGTGTTTTCAAATTTTGAAAAAAAAATTAACAAACTAAAATTTTAAGGTTACTTTTGAAGTAATTTAAATACTCATAACTCAATTTTTATTCTAAACAGAAAGTCACCATAACTTGACAATTATTAAATTTTGGTATAGGGATCGATACAGAATTAAATTCTCTTCCATTTAGGAAAATAAAAATTGGGGTATTTCATTTGAAAAAAAAATAGTTATGGGTATTTGAATTATTGCAAAAGTAACTTTAAAATTTTGGGGTTTGTTAATATTTTTTTCAAAATTTGAAAATACCTGAAAAAAGATCTATGCTTTCTCTTTACAACTCCCTACTTTAATTAACCTAGCAGTATTAATTGGATTGAAAAATTAATATTTTATATAAAATTCCTTACATAGGTGATTTAAATAAAAAAATTTAAGCCTCCAATTACAGATGTTAGGTTAGTAGCTGATTTTTTACTAAAAAAGTTTAATCAAAGCAGAAATTGATTAATTTAAATTTTAACAATCAGAAAATTCATTTAAATTTGCTTTGAAAAATCAAACAAATTTTTGGAGGTATTTTGGGGACACAAGAAATATGATTGATGTTAGATAAATCAGTGATTTTTTATTTTAGTAAATTAAAATTTTAGGGGATTTAAATTTATTTTTAAATGAAATTTTATTGATTTGATGTTTTACTATAAATAATTTTATAAAATTAGGTTATTGTTGTTAAAAATAATTTTTAGGGGAAATTAAGCAACATCACTGAAATTAATTTTTTTATAAAATGAGATTTGTAAGTATTAAAAAACAAAGAAAACGAATTCAAAATTTTAAGAAATAGCAGAGTCACCGATTTTTATAGTGGAAGGTGCAGATCCAAGAATTTTTGAAAAACTCCAACTATTTCAAAAACGGCTAAATTTAGGTATAGGGAAAGGTAATAAAAAATCCTTTAAAATAACCTGATTAATCAGTAAAAAATATAGATTTCCATTAAAAATAAGAAAGTTGGAACCAACTTCCGGTATAAACGGAAAATATTTATTTTCATTTAGGAGGACTTAATGGATTATGGCTATGTACCAATTTTCAAATAAATACGATTATTGGAACTCACAATACTTCTAATGTGAGATTTAGACGGAACACCCTGTATAATAATAATTTGAGCTTTAGCAGTTTTAAAATTTGTCAGTATTTGTTGCTTCGAACTTGTATTTTCCGAATAAAAAGTTCCTTTTTTCAAGTATGAGTTAATAAACGTCTTGTTTGTTGTTTAGCGATTTTTCTTGCGGATAATTTAATCAAATCATACGTTTGTGGAACAAAAGACGGAGTTAATCGTGTATAAAACTCACCTAACATGCCAACTGGAAATTGGCCTGGTGCTTCAAGTGGGTTCGCTATAACGCTTTGTGTTACAACCCAAACATAATTTTCTCCAGTAAGGTGAAAATCCTTAGCGGCAGTAAGGATGTCTATTGCTTCTTGATTCGTGCAATAAAGCAGCATTACTCGGGCTTCGGAATCCACAAGTGCAGCCAAATCACGATGATGTGAGACGAGGACTGCGTTGAGGATTGTAAACTTGAAACGGTCCTGGAAAAATAATTATTTCAAATTTTATTTAGAGTTAAGTGGGAGCAAATCGAGATTCTAAATTGATTTTATACAAGAGTGAACCTAAAACGTCTTGTCCAATTTTCAATCAGCTTCAAAATCGATCCAAAGCCATATTGTAAACATTTTATTTTTCTTATGCTAGGAAGTTTCTGCGAAAACGGGTCTGACACCACTATCATCAATTTTACTTTGCTTGCGCCAAACTTTGAAACTAAAAAATTAAAAATAAATAAAAATTAAATAAAGTAGACTGAAATAGACTAGTACAATTTGCTTTCTAGAGGTTGGTAATGGTGATTTTCAGCGACGTTTTGAGCATGAAATATTGCAGTATTTATTGTTAATTTAATAAAAATTTTAAAAAATACTTGTGACTTGACACAAAACGAATTTTTCAAACTTTGTGACATTTATTACCAACCAACACCTTATTAGGGCAAAAGTTCTATAAGTATATTTATTTTAAATTATGTTTATAGTCATAATCGGTTAGGTTCTGCTCAATGAAAATATTTTCAAGATGGCGGCACTTCCTGTTACGACGGAAGTGGATATCAACTTCGTTATTTTAAATAGAAAGTTATGTTTTTTATTGCATTTTTGGATTACTCAAGCGAATTTGAAAGAATTTTCATTAGCTTTCCCTATACCTAAGTTTAACCGTTTTCGAAATATTTAGAAGTTTTTAATTTTTTTTGGATTTGAATCTTTCTATTCAAAAATCGATAACTCTGCAATTTTTTATTATGTTGAAACCGTATTTGGGTATACGAGAGAGAAAGATTAGATCTTTCCTTTGGTGTACTTATAATTGGAAAAAAAATTAACAAACCGCCAAAATGTAAGGTTACGTTTAGGAAACTTCTAATACTTTTAACTCAATTTTTCTAAATGAAACACCCAAATTTTTTTTTCACCAAATGGAGGAGAATTTATGTCTGCTTCGATCTGTACTAACATTCCCTATACCTATGTTTGATAGTTTTCAAGTTATAGTTACTTTTTTTGATACTGTGAGAAATTTATTAGCTACTTTAGCATAGTTTATCATAGAAATAAGAAAAAAATAAAATATCAAAGTTATTCAAATTTAGATTAAATAAATTTGATTTGTATTTACGAAAAGAATAACACAATTGTGAAAAAAAACTTGGCGTTTTTTCAGTGAGAAATATTTCCATGGCAAATTATGCGAAAACTACCATGGATAGTAATGAATGTCTTCCATTTAAAAAAAAAGTCAAAATAACTTGGAAATCATAAAATTTAGGTATAGGGAATGTTGATACAGTCGATGCAGAATTAAATTCTCTTTCATTTAGTGAAAAAAAGTTGGGGCTTTCCATTTGAAAAAAAAATATTTACGGGTATTTGAAATTTCCCAAACGTAACCTTAAATTTTGGAGGTTGGTTAATTATTTTTCCAATTATAAATACACGAAAGAAAAGATCTAATCTTTCTTTTTTATATGCCAAAATACGATTTCAAAATAATTAAAAATGGTTGAGTTATCGATTTTTGGAGAAGAAGATGCAAATTAAAAAAATTCAAAAAAGTCTAAATAGTTCAAAAACGGTTAAATTTAGGTATAGGAAAGTCTGATAAAAACTCTCTCAACATCACTTGAGTGATCCAAAAACGCAATAAAAAACATAATTTTCTATTTAAAATAACGAAGTTGATACCCATTTCCGGTGTAACCGGAAGTGCTGCCACTTTAAAAATATTTTCATTGAGCATTTTAGATAAATATTATTGTTGGAACTTTCAGTACTTCTAATGTGGAGTTTAGCTGGAACAGCCTTTAGAAAAATAGTATAAAAAAACTCTTTAGCAGATGTTAAACTATTCTTTTATCAGCTCTTTTGAGTAGATAAAGTAGCAGTTTAACTGCAAGGGTGGATAAAGTAGCACTTTAACAGCAAGGGTAGATAAAATGTTTTTACTTATTTTATTCATTTAAATTTACAAATTTTAACATCCACGAGGTGGAATAAAGCGTCCAATTTACACTCGAACGAGTTGAATACAACATATTATTCCTCAAATTAGACTCAACAAGGCTTAAACTTACTTCAAATCTGTTAAAAATAATCTGACGTTTCGAATTGACAAATGACAAAAATTGTCATTTTTTTTTGAAATCCTGCTATGGAAAAAAATGTATTATACACGACGATAAAGATTGTTTATCTACTCGTGAAATAAGTCCACTCGGGAACTTAACCTTTTCACTCGTAGATAAACAATCCCTTTATCGTCTTGTATAATAATAGTTATTTATTATACAAGACGATAAAATTAAATTTTACCTTTGAGAGCAATTTAGCGTCGAGACGCTAATATGCTCGAAAAGATAATGAAAATTTTATCGTCGAGTAAAATATACCAGGTGAATAAAAAGTATGGAACCAAACGTTTTTTGCTTAAACAATTTATTTTTTGAAAAAACTAATTGATGAGTGATAAAGTACTATAAAAATGTGATGTTTTAACAAGAATAAAAATTTTCAAAATTACCTTTTGTTTTTGAGTTCTACAAAAAAATTATTTTTTTAAATAGCAACCCACTATAAAATCATTTTTCTCATAAAGGTTATACTCAGGGATACTAAGGATTACAACTTACGCTTTATATTTAATTTTTTCAAAAATTTTTTTTTGATATAAATATATAAAAAATAATAATATTTCGTTTTGAAAATACGATCACATTTTTAATATTATTTTAATTTATATTAATTATTATTTTCTGGAGGCAAATGATTAAAAATAAAACCGCTTGGTTCCAGACTTTATATTCACCCTGTAAATGTTTATTCAATCCTTACAAATTTTGTAGTCAATTTGGTCGATATTTATAAATGTCAAAGTAAAATTCAACAATGAAATCTAATGTCAAAAGTTAGCAACTAACAATCCCAGATATACAACAAAAGATGTATTTTTTATCATCTAGACAATAACATGAAGAAAAGAGTAAATAAAATTTAGAGGTTTTAATAAATAACTTTTGTTTTATGAACAAAAACTCGTTTAAATTTGAGTATTTTGTTCAATATCTTTCGACGTCATCTTCACCCTGTAATTGCAAAGGGTGGACGTCATCCTAACAGCTCCACAAAGCAGTAAAACGCTGCGTCATCGAAGTAGAAAAAGCAACTTTTCCAATTGTCAAAAAGCAGTGATCTTGGGTCCTATTAATCAAGTCCGCTACGATCGTTTCGTGTTCGAACAAAGTCTCAAATAGAAAGAATGTAACAGAATCAATGATTGGACAGCAATTGCAATGTTACTGTTGAATAGCATAATTAATTAGTTTCAGTTTACGTTGCTGAAAAATTGTGGTTAACATAATGGTGTAACATTTGGTTTTGGCTGCATTGTGAAATTGCGTTTTGGTGCATTGCATGTGGGATTATAAAGGACTAAAGGACACGTCATTTATAATTTGAATAAATTCAAATGCGTTTTATGAGTCGATTGGCAAATACTGGAATTTTATTATATTGCATTAACAAAAAATCTTCTTTCAGTATCTTTATTTCTATTTCGCTGAATTTACATGTCCTAAAACGAATCAATAGCGCGGTTGCCTTATTTCGTAATCTAAATTCGTTTTTGGTACAAGTGAGAATCCAATTGTCATGAAAATCCTTAATCTTTAAGGTTTAAGATCCAGATCTTCGGTTTGGTAAATGTTAATGACTCTCTAATTAATAAAATTTGAAAATATTATTTTTAAGGTTTGTGAGCTGAAATTCAGATTTCAGCAGTTACATTTCAATTAAGTCTGTTTGAAAAGCCATTCCAATGCAAGACCTGGTTTACACAGTAACTGAAAGTTGGATTTAAAACAATAAAAGAACTTGACTTTTCTTGCTTCAGATAACAAGAATTATATTCGAACTAAATGATTTAAAAAACATTATTTTAAGTATTATATTAAATATTTTAAGTTGACATATCTGAAAGATGAGCTGACAAATTCGTATTTACCTTCCATACTCATATCTGATGCATTTTTCGAACACCTCATAAATAACGTTTTTGTCTACCTACATAATATAGAGATTGAACGAAAAACTGACTTTAAAAAATCATCTTGTCAGTTTTTTCACATTTAAATAAGAGCTCATGTTCTTCCTAAAAACCTTCTCAAAACAGTAAATGCAAAATTCTATTTTCTACTACAACATTATTTCATGTTGAATTTGTCTAATAAGGCTTAGAATTTTTAAACTAAACTTTTTTGAGATTTGTTTTGTAATTTGCCTACATTTTCATTCTCTAATAGACACACTAAAGAACTCGGTGTCATCATGTCTTAAAATAGTTAAAACGCAACTATATGAAATTTGACTTTTAAAATTATGACCTCAAACGATTAAAGTGAAAAAAAATGTTTAAAAACGGCATAAAATGACCAAAGTACCACCAACTCGTTTCATAAGACTTTGAAACACTCATTCTACTCTACGCCACTCGTTTTTTAAACTAGAATTCGTGCTTCAAGACTGGCTTTATGGAACTTGTTTTTTAATATACCGTTTTGAAACTTGAATTTGTTTTTATTTAACACCAAATTTGGAAGAAAAATGTTACTTAATGTTATCAAAAGCAAAGCTCTTGCCTCTAAATAATCCATTTTTATTGACTTAGTTATTGGCTAAAGAATCTGGTAGTTAAAATGTAACAAGTTATTAAACATGCATTAAAAATTCAATAACTCTGTTTATAGTTGGGCTAGTTTTATAACTACATTAAAATACAGGGTGTCCCAGCGAGATGAAAAAGTCCAGTGACCTTTAAATAATAAAATTATATAGGACATTGGTATACCAGGTGAATAAAAAGTATGGAACCAAACGTTTTTTCCTTAAACTATTTATTTTTTGGAAAAACTAATTGATGAGTGATAAAGTACTATAAAAATGTGATGATTTAACAAGAATAAAATTTTTCGAA